TCATTTACAGTGGCCTCCAATCATTTTGAAACATTTTTCATAGGATTTAATGTAAACACATTTTTCTAAGAATACTAGTATTCAAAAGTCTCCATTTTTTCGTGACAGTCTTATGTAGCCATCATTTATTTAGCATAGGACACCGAAAACAACTTTGAGATATGATGAAATGTTTCAGATATAGGAAATAAACTATTTGCTATAAACTGTTTTTGAGCAATTTTCGAGGTCATTTTGTGACGAGATATTTACAGAATTTTTAACGTTACAGTAACCCAATCCATCTTGCGGATTTCGGGGATCTCTGAATTTTTTAAATGGTAGCAAACTAACTTAATTAAACATTACTCAATGGATTTTGATAATATTATACTTATAATATTAAAAATCGGAGCCGAGAATATAAATTATTTTTGATTCAGTGTCTTTGTGATAATAGGCACTTTTCAATGATCCTGATGGACAAACTTTTCAAAATGTTTTTTTTTTTAGTAAAAGCACTTTCTATAGTGACATTACTATAAGCACTTTTCAATACGTGTTTCTGGTTTGTAATTGTATACTTTTTTCACCAATGACATTAAATCTAACGGGAAATAGAAATTTTGTTTTAAAGACATAATGTGAGCCACCTCGGTGTTCGTACTCGACTTTTGAACTTTCACAGAGAAGTGATTTTTAGCCCAATTATTCACTAACAGCTAACACCTTTGATGGGACTTTATTTTGTGACAAAGCATTTCAAAACCTAGACACACTCACATTTCTCAATTTCTTGTGAATCTTTAATACACTGTGGTACTAATGCAATACATTTACGGGCCAAGTGAGATATTCTTTATTCTAAGTTGAAAAATAACAGAAAAAGTACTAGCAACCACCAAACATTAATCATTTATTTTAACATTTCAGTAATATTCTTATAAATTGTACAAAAGACAGCAGTGTCTGTTTATTATTTCAAAAAAACTCATTTAGCATCCCAACAAAATGCAGAATTTACAATTTGTTATAATGATTCATATGAGATTGAAGAAAAGTTTTTATGTGTTTAGAAACATGTTAGAAAAAAGGAATTTGTCCCTTCTCGGTATTCAACATATATCTATTCTTAGATGTATTGTGTGCGTCATTGGAGAGGGGGATTTTGCTAATAAGTGACTCACGGGCAATACTGACATACCCACCATTACGCCTTCGTCTAAGTAATTGCACAACTGCACATACTTATGAAAACATTGTCATGGCAACCACGCTTTGTGGTCACATCGAGCTGTGTAATATAGAGTTGCGCTAACAAGTTATGAGCTGTTTAGCCAATCACCATGGAGACGAAATGTTGGCTTGATGTTTGTTTTTTTCGGTCGTATGCTCCGAATTTATTTTTCTATATTGCTGCAATATTATATGTACAGTGTTAAATAAGATAAATTGTCTCTGCCTTATAGTGCTTGATAAATATCAAGTTTTGGCTAGGCTAATATCTTGACAGATGTCGGATACAGTACAGACATAATTCTTGTTTCTTTGTGACACTTCCAGAAATGAACACAGTACAATTTATTTTGAAAATTGAACTTCGCTGACCCTGTCTTGTCGCTCGGTAAAATTTGCGTGACAAATCTTGTATTTATGACGCAACACGCGAAACTGTTAAAACATGTAGAATTGCCTAACACAGAAATTAATTATAAATTAGTAGTAGTTTTTTTTTCAGAAATCATGCGTCATCGGTACATGAATAAGAGTTTCATTACTTAATTATTTAATTCCTTAATGTATGAAGGTGGTATGAGTCCGATTGACGCACAGGATACAGATATAGTTTGTTCGCTTATTTCTTATTTACGCGTCCCTAAAGCACTATTGAGCAGGATTGTTCACCATATTCATATAATATGTAAACTATAATATAGTGAACACATTGCGCTTTCTAAATATCGATTATATTGAATTTAGGAATTACGTGTTTCATATTGTGTATGTACAATGTGTTTATCTTGTATTTAGTATGTTTATTTCCTTCAATTAAATTGACAAATTTCGATGACATGGGAACATGTATTATCAATTATTTTAGTTTTATAATGTGTTAAAAATTATCCATCATATGAGTTTCACACCTGCCTTATATCAGCAGTATATTAGGCTCTTAATAGCTATATATTAGTTGAATTTCAGATTTATTTATCAGTTTGATTTCTTCTTACAATCATCTATTAAATAGTCAAATAAACCCTTTCACACACACATTTATATTATTATTTTACTAGGTCTTAAACGTGCATGCATGATTTTGAGTTACAGTTGCATGGCAACCGTCAATATTTTGTTTATACTAGTGCACGGTTTTTCTTTTCTTGTGTAATCGATAACATTGCAATTGAGGGTTATAGATTTGCAGAAATAGTCCCGTGAGGCTGTCTTCTGGCATGATTTTAGTAAGGACAGTTGATCAAGAATGTTAATAGGATTGACTTTCAATTATGAATCATTATCGCATTAAATGAGTAAAATGAAAGGATTTGAGCCTTTATCCACCCTCCCACGCATGTCAAATTGACTACAAAAGCACCATGGGAACATTTGATAATATTTGAATGTTTAGTATACTATAGATGGAACCTTTCTAACACAATCATTATCACTAGTGCCACCATCACATATAACATCACGATCACCACTATTATGGTCTTTCTGTAGTGAATAACATTTGCAGTGATTTATATAAAAATCAAATCTATTTGCACATCCATGTATGTCTGTCATTCAAGCACTGGAATAGCTGAATCAACGGAACTGACATCTATATTCACCCAGCATGTCAAAAAGATCACATGATATTTTTAGTAAATTCGATTTAATTTGCTTTGGTACTTCAGGTTAACTTAACACTTTACTTCACAATTTCGTTAACGATCAAAAGAAGCGATGTTACGTGACTTAATTTGGACTGCTGGTCATTATAAAATAGCGGTATTCCTTAAAGTACATACGCTAGTTTACTTGAAACAGTCGTAATAAATGAGATCCGAGAACTTTGCCAGTGTTACCATGGCGATATTACACATTTCACCCTTCTCATGACTCATGACATATGTAAATTATAACCTTCATTGTCACAAGCTGGCATACGCAATAATTGTAAAGTACAGAAATGACTAGATGGAAATTCCAATTGGGCAAATGTGAAAGCTAACAGTACTCAAAACAACGCATTTGTTTTATTTTCTTAATTGAATATTATACACTATAGTCGTTGTATACGTGTGCGACTTGAATCGTATTTAGTGATGGGTGTTTTAATTATTTGTAAAACACCAGTAATTAATATCCAATTATAAACCTTTGATTAATGTAGACAAAACTTGTTTCATATAATTAAACATCGATAGTTCTGCGCAAAATAGGAAAGTTTCAAAGGGTATCAATGTATTCGCGAATAATATTATAATGTTGGTGTGTAAGTATGTGAAATCACACTGTTTGTTTTTTTAGTTTGCAAGCAATGATACCCGGTGCGATGTAAGGGAACGACCAATAAGGCATATTTCAAGATTTCGAAATTATATTTTCTATCATTATAAATCAGGCCATATGTGGTGTATTTAATGCATTGTGCATGTGTATTAACTATTTCACACGTGCTTGGAATATCAATTGTTGGATTTTTCGTCATTTACATATGCTGTACATGTCTCATTCATTTATGCATATAAATATTATGGTGAACCTAGCCAGTTAATACAAATATATCGTTAAATTTTCGTTAATAGAATGATTATTTAAAGTAGTCTACTTATAATTGTTAAGAACGTTACGTATAAATCTAATGCCAAGGCTCATCATTTTGGACCAGTTTCTACATTTAGTTGTTCCTTTTAAAAGTTTGTTTTTAAATAACTCAGGTTGGATGAGGTTATAACAATCAGCAAGCTGTGTGGCGATCTGCAGTGACCACACGCTTGTGTTATTACTGTAGGGTTCTGATAACCCTAGAACAGAACTGCAGTGATCATACACTCCTATGTTGGTGCTGCAGGAATCTAATAACCCTAGACCAGAACTGCAGTGGCCACACACTCCTATGTTTGTCTTGCA